TCCTTTTTTAAACGTTTTGGTACTCCTTGATGTAATCTACGATATGAATGGTACTAACGATGCGGATTTCTTGTTATGCATGAGCGCATTATGAATACGTACATTAAGGCTGCACGATTAGCAGCACGAAGTTTGATTTATATGATATCGGTTTACTGTTAAGAAAATTTTTTAAGGCTGAAGATCAAATCGTAATGTGCAATCTATATCAAGAATACAGAATTATCTATTCATCCTGCATCCTTCAGCAATCTTATCTGAAAGTTGTTAGCGAATTATTGGATAAAACTATATTACTATACATAGTATCATGTCTTACATGCTTACCTCTCATTGTTAGTTTGTCGCCCATAGTGGTGCAAATAAATCAATATCCATGGTTTATGAATAGCGTACCTATTAGCATGATGCATAAAGCAACTGAAAATTCTGTGGTTATTTTAACCGCCAAACGTTAATTAACAAACGCAAGGTAATGAATATTTTTTCTTATTCCATTCCTTTATATTTGATTCGCAAATAGGGTTTGAGGCTATTATTAAGTAATTTGAATTAGATTCTTGCTATACCTTCAGGAATAAGATACTTAATACGGCACAGTAGGTGTCTATTGCCTGCGATACTGGAAAGGTTTGTCCTTCTCGATATTTGACAATATTAAAAGGCTATCTCAGATATACATATACTAATAAGATTAGTAATGGGATAATTTCGTTATCGAGATACTGTACTGTACTGTACTATACTATGCCATTTCTACTGGTGGATGCGTAAAATTGCTTTGTACAAGTTATTAGTTGTAGTCGAGATTTATATTAAATCGTTGAATGTTCGCAAAATTCATTTATTGACGTTGTTCTCACAGCGGTGGATATTAGCCTGAAAAATGTTTCAGATTAGCTTCACTTTATGTATGTATATGTGAAACCTAAATGCATACAGAGAGCTATGGCGAGCACATGTGTAGGTTGCATAGATAGATCGTAGGTAATTCAATAATTGATCAGAGAAAATATAGTATAGTAGTTTGCAGTAAATTTCTGCGACTGTATGATATACGCGTATAGCACAATAGAAATGTAAAATTTGGCATAGCATATGCATGATTCACGCACCCATAATAATATAAATCTATTCATGAACTACTGAAATATTTCCCTGAATTTTGCAAACTTTAATCTCCACTATCTGCGGATATGATGTGTTTATGACTCCAATCTATGTTTGCCAGATGAACATTGTTGTTTGCATTTGTACAACAATACAGTAGATCATGTTGTATCGAAATGTAAATTCATGATGGTCCTCAGTCATTCATACACTATTTCATACTTTGCAGTATTACACACTACACGATTCGGATCAAGTCTAATATTGTTAGTTGATTTCTGTTGAATGTAAATCATTGAAATCGTACAGCAAAATTCTTGCAGCAAGGAGAGTTAGCTGAATAAAGACATGGACTACTAAAATTGAAGAGCTTCATCCTGACAGTCCAGTTAGAACAGGACAGTACAGTACAGTAAACGGTATGCAGTGTGTAGTACTAAGTACTGTAGAATACAGTAATATACTGTACATACAGAACTGTATCATCGCTTAAGCTAATATATTTACTATGAGTATCTGAGTAATCGGGTGATTGTGTACCGTAGTGTACAGTACAGTACAGTACAGCACAGTACTGTAGGCTCGTACGATACGGTCGTTCATGACGGCTCATAATTTTCAACTAAATCTCGATGAAATCCATGGAAACCATTCATCCAAATTTGCAATGTGGCAATCACATGATTTTCTCTGCAATATTTTTTATTATTAAGTTATTTATTTGTACGTGATGTGCCTTTTGTCTGCAATCTCTTTCCTTAACTTTTAATTAAGACACCGAGTAAAAGTTCAAACCAACAAAAGAGTCTAAAATTTCAAAAATGTCCGTACAATAGAGTTGACAGCACTTCAAATGATTACAGTACTGTCGCTAACTGTTGTCAATCGACATTACGTCACGTAAAAGAAAAGGTTACAGCGCGTATTCCTCGTTAAGTGTACTAGGACTATTTACAATTGGTGCACTCTACAAGGTAGCTAAGCTGCTCAATCTATAGTACTGTACTGCAGCGTATGCTCGGTAGATTGAAGGATTTTCAACCTTAATTTAAGTTGAAAGCCTTCTTAATAAGCAAACAATAGCCTCAGTTAGCTTTAAATACGCTACAGAGCTTCAAACAAAATTCACTTCTCCCTGGATTGCTTTGAGTTCGTCATCGACTCTACTTTCAAAATAAAACACAGATATGTATCGTTTTTTGATTCTTGTCTCTCTCGTTGGTATTGCTATTGCAACTGCACCTAAACCATGCTGTACACCAAAGCAATGGGAAGGGGTTGTTGAAGCAGCCGGCATGAATGTAGTTGGAAAAGGAAAAACTGCTATGAACTCGACCTTTCGCGTTTTAATGCATGCTTCATATGATTACCAAAATAGCAGGATTAGAATTGATGAGGACGTATATCCGACTGGTGGTAAGAAAGTCCGTATTACAATCATCGGCGACTTTAAGAAAGCAAAGAAGGTCTATACTGTTTACAACGGCAAGTGCACCTCACTTTCCACCAAATCACCAATGCCCGAGGCCTGCGTTCCTAAGAACGCTACTTTCTATATGGGAGGTACGCTTGGAGCTACATTAAAGTATAATACCTTCGCTTATGCCAAAAAAGATGGATCCTTGGGAGCGATAATTGATGTATCTGCAACGGGTTGCATTCCAATTGCCGAATTAGCTTTCCAGAAAGCAAAGATACAGGGTAAAGCTAATACCGAATATATTGCAGCTTGGTTCAAGAACATTACTGCAGGAATCAAAGACTCCTCAGTTTTCGACAAGCCGAAAGAATGCAAGTCTAT